GGGTTTTAATAAAAGAGTTATGTACAATAACAATCCTACAGAAAGGTTAAAGGTCACCTGAATTATGCTCTTGGGCAACGTCGAATGACAAATTCTTACCATCGGCTTAAAACCTGGTAGTTACGTTTTTTTGGTTACAGATTAATTAACCTTTATTAATAAAAAAATGTATAACAGCGTACAATAAACACGACCCAACTATGTACGGTACTAAGTAAACGAAGTAAACGAAACTCGGACATATCATTTTCTGAGTGCAATTTTTAACCATTTCAAGTTAATAGATTACATTCAGATTTTAAAAATAAACCAAATCGCAGGGCTTTTGACTAGAGCTATCACTTCAGCCGAGTGTGGAGTAATCGTCTATACGTTAATAAGATTCCGCATTCAACACGATATCAGCGACGTCAGAATATCAAGTAACTAGAATTCTTAGAAATCGATTTCAAATGAAGTACAAGGCTAGACTTAAAGTAATTTAATAGTTAATTAAGCAGTACTTTAGTGTGGTTAATTATACTAAATTACATTCTTGACTCTCTTAGTGACTGTTAGTAAAATAAATTGAAAACCATAAATGGGGTGACTAGAAACAACACCGGAAGTTTTCATAATGTATTTAGATTATCTGTAGCTATACATGGAAGGATTATTTTTTTTCAATTATTTAGCTGATATTAATTCTTTTTGGCATTGGTTCTTGTTGCTTTATTAATCCACTAGCTTTCGTTTACGACTGCGTCCGCGTGAAATTAAAAAAAAAACATTAACCCATGTCCTCTTCCATGCTACATTCTACATCTATGCCTAATTTTATCGAGATCTGTTCAGCCGTTTCGGCTGAAAACTCAAGATAAACATTCATCCATCTATACTTATGATTTTTTATTTAAACTAGTAAGAAGTAAGATTTGTTTTATAGTTTTTACAGCTTTTTTTTTTCAGTGTCCTTATTTCATTCTGTAGATATATCTTGGCTGAAATAAGTTACATAAAACGGTATTTACTTACGCCGTATAGGATCATATCGAGTGGCTTAGTTTCAATCACTTGTTGCACGTTCAATATCGACTGAGCTTCGGACACAATAAAATTATTGTTGACACCAAATATTTATAAATTAATAATTACTTTGCATTTAGTTCTTATTCATATGATGTGTTAGAAACTATCCGAATTTAAAAAACTAATATACCACTAGATAATCATAATTTTAGTTCAATTTAAGGTTAACAGCACTGGATTTTTTTTAAAAAACACCACTTTTTAATTTCATAATTTGGTAAATGTCAAAGTATGTCCAGAGGTCATATAGCCGAGACGTCTGCTCGGGGAGGCTGCCGGGCTAACACTGGGGGCTGGGGGTGAATTCGCAACCCCCGAGCGGCGCAGGGCTGGAGACTAGCTTAATTCAGTTACAATGTGAACTTAAGTCACAGCTAGTAACATTAAAGCAATAACTTATATATTAATTAACTAGCCATTGCCCGCGTCTTCATCTATACAATATTAAGATAAAAAGTAGCCTATAAAATGCCCGTCTATGTCAGCTACTCTTCAGTTAAAGTCCGGTCAAAATCGGTTCAGCCGTTTCGGAGATTACCCGAATCAAACGCGGCTTCCGGATAGACACACAGACAGACAAGAAAACAATTTTAAATGCGATTTTCGTTAGGTGGAACGCAAATACATCATCTTCCCGAAATCTGGAACTTTTCCTTTGATATTACAAACAGACACTCCAATTTTATTATACGTATAGATAATTTTGAGTACTAATGTATATCAAAATATGTTTGTCATCTTCACCAATATAAAAGATTAGGAGAATAAGGGGCAGTACTACCAAATTCTCGTAAATTGCCTGATAATAATCAAACAGATAAAATACGTGACGGAAATATAGGATTTTTTTGT